TGTTACGGGAATTAGTCAGATTCCCGGAAGATGAATTACCGGTGTGGCCAGAGTAGTCAGTTCTACCTCATAATCCCTTATCTAAATTTTCACTCGACTTACGCGCAGGCTAGATCGGTAGATAACCGGCGACCTCGCTAGAAGGGTAAGAAATACATGTAGGAGGAAGGCAGGCGATAGGAAAGACAGAGAGATAAGTAAGGAGACGAAAATAGGAAGTAAGGTAAAGATATAGATGGGGAACGAGAGAATGAAAGAGAGAGTGAAGTGTAAAAATGAACAGTAAGTGAAAAGCAACGTTGTTTGTTCACAACCACTTGTTTAACAAGAGTCGACGTTTCGATGACCGTCTGTCATCTTGATCAGGGCAATTATGACTGGTTCACTGTGCGCTGAAGCTACATTTTGTAGGTGTGGTTGGTTCACTGTGCACGGAAGCTAGGTGTTACTGGTTCACTGTACACTGAAGCTGGGTGTTGTACACTGAAGCTAGGTGTTACTGATTCACTGTGCACCGAAAGTAAGTGTTCACAGATAAACAGAAAGTAGTTGTAGAAAAGGAAGAGAAGAAGCGTAAAATTAGGTGATGGAAAGAAGAAAGGAAGGCAAATAGAGAGCATGAAAATGTACCGTCGGCGTGAGTCTCAAAAGAGCTATTACTCAAGGAGTGTCCAGAGTCCAGCCAAGTCCGTCCGCCAGCCAAGAGGTCACCTGAGCTGGCGAACTGGACAATAGGGCGAGGAGATTCTCTCCGGACGGCTCTTTTTACACGTTCTCCGGCCATTGTGGCGGGACCGCAAGATGGATAGCCGCGGCGTTAGGGCACTTTGGCTGAATGCGGAGGGTCAAGGGGTTTGCGTCTTGGCGTGATAAAGCTTCCCTTTTCGTAAAATGAAATATCGCCGCAGATAAAGGCATGAAATTGTGGTAATAAGAGCTTATCTGCGAGCCCCGTTCTCAACAGGCGTTGCGTTGTAGAATTAGCCGTTGTATCGTGTTCGGGTGCGTTTGTCACGGCCACTGAGGGCCTTTGTGCGGCTCCTGGAAACAAATGACGCGGCCAGATTGAAACACGGGCGGAAGAGTCGCCCCCTTATCAAGAGAACAAAAGTCGGGAGATCGGCGCGGTGGCAGGAGCCCGATTCGCTCCGCCGATCTTGTCAGGGCGAGGGAAAAAGCCATCAACTCACGGGCGTGCCGCGCCGCGCGCAGAGTGGACTAATTTGCAATAGAACAAATTTAATGCCCTCCGGTGTATAGGTTCTTGAATGGTGTGCCTTTTGTCACGTACGCGCACCAACTGGAGAACTTATCCTTCTTCCTTTATACTATTGCTAAGCAATTCGCACACCTTTCGGTGTAAATAGGGCTGTGCCTATCTCTGTTCGTATAGCCCTTGGGTCACATAGTTGTGGCTAGTCCGCTGGTAGTGGTGTGTGTTAAACTGGCATACTCTTTCTCAGTTGTTACTCAAGAAACTGATAGATTTTGAAAACTGTCAGACTTATATTATAGATATATAATTAGACGTTTCAAGTACCATCCACTACTCTTTGTCAGTCACTGACGAAAAGTAGTGGATGCTACTTGAAACGTATGCCAGTTTTCGTCAGTGACTGACAAAATGTAGTGGATGCTACTACTTGAAACCTATGAGTTTTCAAAACATATCCAGTTGCTTGAGTAACAACTTCCTTGTGTATCAGCTACATGGTTAATCACTCTCGACACGTTATCGTCTGCGATGTAACAAAAAAGATTCTCCCCAACACAAAAGTTCGCCATATAGTAGATGCTACTTGAAACGTCTGACAGTTTTCCAAAGCCTATCCAGTTGCTTGAGAAACAACATCCCTGTGTATCAGCTACATGGTTAATCACTCTCGACACGTTATCGTCTGCGATGTAACAAAAAAGATTCTCCCCAACACAAAAGTCTGGCATGAAATATTTATATCCGGGTCACGACTTGGCGAGGCAGGGCCCAGGTGCGAATTCTGCTGCCCGGATCTCGGGCTGTATTTACTCCTGAGTCCCTCGTGCAGGGCGCTGAACGCAGATGATGTGAGATGTGATTTGTGTCTCTATGCTCCGTCGCTTCTAACGTGTTAATGTAGTCGAAATTTTTACAGTGTACAAAATACTTTTTTTTAACCAGGTTGCCCATCAGAATTTTAGGTTGCCCCACCTATAAGTTACTACTTTCCTCAAATTAAGTAATGTTACATACATAAGCCTTTGACAATATTTCTAACAGCCTTTAGTTAACTGATACTAGTAATAGCCATTAATACCTAAAATTAAAAAGCATCTGCCGGATACAGTGGTGAAAGCCAAGTGGGCATGGTTGGAGGGGGGGGGGTATTAAAATTCAGGTAGCACACTGGGCTACCTAGGTTCAAAAATAGGTTGCCCCAAGTAAAATTTGGTTGCCCGGGGCAACTGGGCAACCAGGTATTTTGCACGCTGTTTTTAAGGCTTGAAAACCAAGTTTTCCATGAGTACTCTAGTCGCTCTCGTCTACATACTAAGTTGAAGCAACACTATCGATAATATAATGTATATCGATGTTGGCGGACCAAAAGTGCGGAAAATTGTGACGGAAAACGGTTGCTGGTAGGAGCCTGGTCTGATTTTTGGGTACTACCCAGAAAATAAAGGATTCATCTTTGGGCTTGTTTCTGTTGGGTTTTAAATACCCGAAGTATGGAATACTGATGCAAATGTGCTAATGTGGGGCAGTATGTGTCAATGTCATTCAGATTGCCTTATTCAGAATATTCCAGTTTTCTCATTCTGAAATTACATAGGGTGCCTTTAAAACCTAATGCCAAATGTGTGTATGTGCCCTCAACTACTAGAAGCTATAAAAGGGACAAAGCTTTAGTGTAGGCTTAACTCAACAAAGTAGTTATAAAACAGACGAAAGTTGTTAATATCCTACCAAAATGAGTAAGATATAGTTGTGGAATCAATCCTATATTGTTGCTAAAGTGTGAAAGTTATTTGTAACACAGAAGCCGCGTGCCCTCAAACTAGCTTTAAAAGGAACAGGCTTTACAAAGCACATGTAAGTATCTAGGATAAACTCAGCCACTGACGTACAAAATAGACCGACTATTCCATCAAAACTGACAGCTCCTAGCCGTAAACAGAGTTGTGGCAGCTTTTCGAGGCCATTACATGGTTATTTTTGTTGACCTGATGTTGCTTAAGGCAGTTGTTACGATGTAATGATGAGTCGGTGTGACGCTTCCCTTGCTAATTAGCTCCGTCCTATTCCAGCCACATCCCGGCTGTACCATTGTTATACTGCCCCGTGACCGTACCGGACAACCGAGGCCCCCGTCTGGCTGGGTTTAGCACCCGAGCGTAGTAATCTCATTTAGGGTGATGCATGTGGCCGCTTTATCTGCCACTAACCAAGGTTATTCCACTGTCTGGATTGTAAAGATACGTTGTTTGATTAATGGGGGGGAGGCGAGCGGGTTTCTCACCCCAACTCCGCACAGTGTTAGGCCATAAATCAACATTTTGTCTATCTCTCTTTCCTCGTTTTGCAGCGTGTCAGAGGAAAGCTTATCAGGACCACGGCCGACCCGCAGCAGCCAACTCATGTATGAACTGCGCGTGCGCGTCGGCCGCGGTCCGCTCATTTGCATATCACGCCATTTCCTCGGGTCGCCCCCCAGTATGGTAATTTATGCAGGGAATGACAGGATATGCAAAGATGGGGGCATGGGAGGAGAGATGATGGATGTATCTTGTCTTTTCTTCTGAGTAAGACCTAATTCGATCTACACGTCTCAGTAACTGTTTCTGTATGGGTGCTCGGGAATTAGGTCCCGCGTTCCACACCGCAGGGTCAGAAGTTTAAAGGACGACTTTTCAGAGGTTGAATCAGTCATGGTGAGACCTGTACTTTAGACAGACAAGCCTTTTTATAAGCAACCATTACTAGACTAGCAAATGCCTTCAGAAATAATGTTTTCTCTGTTTTGTGGTTCTAGATGCAGCGAAAGCTGTCGACGCCAGAGAAAAGAAGAAAACAATCGCTCCTCCCGTCTCTATTACAGTTTCAGAAAGACCCATGCGGGGCGGATCCTTCTAGACCAGGAGGCTACTTCCCTCACATCACGGTCAAAAATCCATCATTTTTTACGTGTTGACGGCTGTCTTTTTGTTTTCCGCCGATGCCACGCGCTCTTCAAGTACAGGTTTTCACTCGTGTCCGCTAAACCATCGGGCATAAACAATTCACCGTTTGGTTAAGGACATGTCTGCATCAATTTGTGCGACAGTCCATCATTACTGTACACCTGAAAAGCTGCACCTGGCAAAGGTCTGACTCAGATTCTAACAAAGCGTTCCATTGTTCATTTTTTTTAAACCTGGTGATTTATCCTTTGGCTAACTTGGAGTTCTTTTGTTGTGTTTTGAACAGGCGGAAAGAATCTGCGAAACAGTTTGCTAAATGAGCGTTTATTTGTTAATTTTTTAAACCTTGCAGTCTGTTACTCAAGCAACTGGATAGATTTTGCAGTCAGTGCTTTATCCTTTGGCTAACTTCGAGTCCTTTTCTTGTGAAACAGCGTGTAAGCGGAAAGAACAAGAAGATGCAAAACCGTTTGCTAAATGAAAGTTTCATTGTCCATTTTTATGTTTACCAAAGGAAAACATATTGTTTTTGCTCAGTTTCTTCTTCTTCTCCAAACAGTGACCTATGACCTGACCAATGACATGATTTGTTGACGTCTGTCACCATGGTGACTGATGTTGGGTTACATAATGTTGCAATTTCATGGTCTGCTCTGCTCCTGTCACCATATACTAGTAGTACATGTACATGAATGTGTTTGAGTAAGAATTAACAGAGCAGACCATGTCCGAAGGTAAACATTATGCATTTGCTTTGCAAATGTTACTTCTCTAGTTGCAGTCTGTGATTTATCTTTCGACTAACACGGTGTTCTTTGTTGTGTTTTTTTTTTTCTAAACAGCGTGTAAGCGGAAAGAACAAGAAGCTGCGAAGCCGCCCGAGCAGAAAGGTCCGAAGAAGCCCCGGCTAGTGTTCACTGACCTGCAGCGGCGGACGCTGCACGCCATCTTCAAGGAGAACAAGAGGCCTTCTAAGGAGATGCAGGCGCAGATCGCCAAGCAGCTGGGCCTCGATCTGAGTACCGTCTGCAACTTCTTCATGAACGCTAGGCGGCGCTCGCAGGACAAGTGGCAGGAGGACGAAGGGAAGAGCGCGGGCTCCTCAAGCAACGGCTCCACACCGACTAGCTGTACGAAATAGAGCCATCTGCAAGCCTGCTCACCCCTGTTCTTTCGGAATGGATCAATCCAGTTTGGTAGTTGAGCCGAACGATGTGGAACAAGCTACTACTTGATAAGGGGAGACCAGGCTTACAGACGTCATTTCCAACAAAGTGTGACCCTCAAAGCCACACACCTTCCTTTTTGACATGCATAATCATGTGATCTTCTGCGCAAGGTATTGTGGGTGAAGACGTTATGCAAATGTATGCAAATGAGCCACCTTAACCAATCACTGGCCATCCTCTGCTTATGGTGTTCAGAAGTAGCTACGGTACAAACGCGAAAAAAATAACGAGGCAAAAGGGCAAGGCATTCCCATCACCTTCTTTTCCTCCTTATTTTCTCATCCAATCAAGAAGTGATTTAGAATTTAAAATAGCCAATGGGTGTACAGATAATTTGTCTTCCATGTTTCATGCTGCTTGAACGGATTTAGTATCGCTTACGCCATTGGCTGAAAACTCATCATGCTCATTCTACGTTTGCCGACATTTGCATAACGACTTCACCACAAGAGCAAGTTTGACGGGAAGAAGCCAGGGAAACCTTAACGTTCCCTCGTGAACTGTGTAATTGCTAGGGTACATTCTAACATGTGCCTATACCCTGAGGCATGACGGGAGTTTTGCCTTGATAATTATGTCGATCTAGAATTAAGCTTTAAACTTAAGCCAAATATCCTAGTGCTGAGGAGGGCTCTGAGTTGGAAAAGTAGAGGTTTTTGAACCACTGAAGACAGGATGAAAAAAAGCTAGTACACAAAACGTCATTCCCAGGCATGTACAGGTTTGGTAAGAAAAGCTCTCGCGAGAAATAGTGGGGACGAGAGCAGGCCCAGAAAGCTCAAGTCACGCAAGATATCGCGAGATTTCCACGACGATACCACTCAACTTACACCCGAAGGGAACAGACCCGATACGCCATATTATCTGACACCCCTGCATTAATATTGGTTCGTCCCATCCGTAGATTCTACCAAAAGTAACATGGGGCGCACCATATAGGTGCAGGGGTGTTTTGCTATTCTTAGAAACACAACTTCTGTTCCGCAATCCGTTTTCCATTTGCCACATGACAATCAACAGGCTTGAACCACGACAGTCAACAACTCATCCTTCATTAATCCAAATCCCATGCAAGAAACACTTTCAAAGATACGCCCTACTTTGCGCTAACCCAGCCGACCAAGCTTTGGAGTTCGGACGTTCCCTTAGACAGTTTGGGCAGCCTAGGTTAGCGCCACAGATCTCCAACATAATTAGAACTACTACCTCAGCAATCTCTCTACTTTGTACAACCAAACTATACCAAAGATTGCTTAGTAATCGTTGTGGAATCGTTACGTAGTCTCGTACAATGTGCACAGATAGTTTCCTTGCGTCTTACCAATCATGGCTTGGCATATTTTGCAAGAAAATTTTTAGATCAATAATATGTATTTTTTCGATGTGTTGATGTTGATATGCTGGCTATACTTTAAAGTGGTGTGAAATACTAAGGTGTTATAAATGATGATTTCATGTACATTCCAGATGGAAATATGCAGGAGTCGGGCTATACTTAACTGTTGAGTGTAAAAACTTATAAATCATATCTTGTAAAGTTAACATTTTTGTGTAATGGCGAACTTCGCTTTTAGTCGATCCAAAGAGTTTGCATCATATTAGCGCTTTTGGATGACACCTATTTTTCCGTTAGTAAGTTTTGTCCGTCCAGCTGTTTTGTCCGGAGTCAAATTGTTTCTGGTGTTGGCAGGTCACTTCATTGACCTTGAAATTGCCAAATGTGGAAAAAGAAGAACACGTCTATGTTTTGTTGCAGATCCAGACAGCTAGTAAGATTTAGTTAAGATAGACATGGCGGGCGGCTCTGTAATACATTGTATTGTACAGGTCGGTGCGAGATCTCACGAGAACCGCACGAGATCTCGTGAGAACGATACGAGATCTCGCGAGAACGCGTCCGCCAATCGGAGTCCACAATGCAGACTGACGGGGACCTTTTTCCATGACTTGTGTTATTGTGACCGTGTTTTTGTTTTTTTCAAACGTTGTTTTGACGGCCACACTGGTGTGGTTTGTCGTGATTCGTGTTGTCAACAGCCTTGAGTTTATACATTACGGCACCGATTCGATCGGCCATCTTGAAAAACAAAATGGCGTACAGCGGTGCTGTACAATACATACCAAAGATTTTTAAGGGATGCAAGTGAATGTCAACCAAAGATAATGCCAAATGATGAGAAAAAAACTGACAATAACACACTGCACAAAGACACACCTACACACCACTCTTCCGTCTGACAATATACCTCAATCATATCACAACAAGAATACAAAAACCATGCAACACATGGAACTGCTCTGTGGAAACCTAAGTCAAAATTTCTGTCTTCTGTGCTATGTAAAACAGTCTGTCCGGACGAATTCACTTGTTTCAGAGGCAGGGGTAGAAAAATTTTCAACCAATTTCTGATCTTCCATTTCAACGTCTGTAAAAACTATGCTGTGTGATTTCTTTGGGTTGTTGTTCTCACACCCCTCGCCTACTAGTGAGTTGGTTCCGTCCAAAGATCTTGTAGCATTGGTTTTGATTGGTCGCCCGCTTCTGCACTGTCTGGATTATTACGTTATTGATTCCTTATATAGTATAATTAACTTAGCGATTAGTGCAATTCTTATCAACAGGGTCAAATGATATTGTTGTCGTGTCTATTGTTAACAGATTGTAAGTATTGTTCACATTTCTTCAAGTACTAGATTGTAATATATTTCCCCAAAGATGGCCAAAGGTCTTGTTTTTGGATGTAATAATTCCAGTGACACTCGTGAATTTTGTGTTCAGAGCGAAGAAAAAAAGATGTTTTGTTAAAACCTGTAAGTAATGTATACAAAATTATTGAGATAAGAAAAACTAGGGTAAACTATAGTTAGTGTCGAATCAATAATATATTGACCATGAAGGAAGAGTGAGGTTAGGGGAAAGATGATGTACAAAGACTTCAGATTGTTGGGACAATGATGTGAACGATAGATAAGTTGAAACTATAAGATACGGATGACTATTGGTACACTGAAGAATACAAGAAGAACGTATACAGTATGATACAAAATATGTAAGACTAAGGCTCCAAGGTGGCAAACGTAGTTGGATAGAATATGCACATCAAATTATGCTTCACAGATGGAAACAAGACAACAAAGGTTAGCACTTACAGTATGCCTTACAATGATAAGTTTGCAAACAAAAAATGTAAATTGTATATAGATAGGGGAGGGTGGAAGGTAATGTAAAAAGTGTGCAATACATTGTAGAATGAACGTTGGAAGGGTCAAAGGTCAGGGGTCGGAGGGCAAGCAATAACCCAAAGTTACTCTTAGGTACGCATGCACTGGCAAAAACAATCCTTACGAGAAAAAAACAACTTTGTACTTTATAGATTCCACCCCGTACCTACTCACTGCGGTTACCCATAATTCTGTGCAATATATGAGAATGGGGTAAGGCCGCGGGGCAGGTCGGGATCGCCTTCTTGCCAACATGAATGTAGCATTACGGCTAGAGTGACCGGTAGAGGCACCTCGCTAGCTTGCTCGCATGGCCCCTAGAGTACAGTCGCATTTAGACGCTTGTGCAATGCTTCTTCTATACATAGAGGTAGGTTAGACTTAGTAGTTTTTGCTCCCTTGTCCTTTTGGCGGCATTCAGACCTGGCGCCGCCTGTCTGAAGACCGCAGGAGAACGCAAAGAAAAGGGACAGGAGTTTTAGTGTAGAGCTTTAAGCCGCATATCCCTAGTGCAAGTGCGCCCTATGTAGGCTATCATCAAATGATAGGCTGTACATTTTTAGGAATATCTGCAATAAATACATTTTTCAAAAGCCACACGTGGACTGCCTTGTCTTATGAATGACTTCCTTCATTGCAGATGCCATTATCAGTATAGAAGTTATGATATTAGAATATTATAAGAAGAAATCGTCTTCAAAATCATTATTAGTGATTCTAGTATGTCAACAATATAATCTACTAGTATCTCAAGTATACTTCTAAAGCACAGAACCTCTCTTGAATTCAGAAATAACAAACACCTGTCACACACTTTACGAACATTTGGAACTCCTACCAGAAACTTAAGATATGTAGGTAGATAGATAGATACATAGACGTATACTAGTATTCAACTTCAACTTTATTTGTTCAACCAGGTATCACACTCAGGCCACTCTGGCCTGTTTTTCAGGAAATCCTGGTACAAAAGCACAGACAAACACCTAACAGTTGAACAGATTCACAATACATACAAAAGTCTAAAAATAGCACATAGATAAAACTAATCTTAAATACAATCAAAAGCCACACGTGGACTGCCTTGTCTTATGAATGACTTCCTTCATTGCAGATGCCATCATAAGTTAGAAGTTATGATATCAGAAGTTATGATAGTATACAGCATATATGCCGAATGCCCCCGGTGTACTTGTATTTTCTATGTTCCCGAATGCACGTAGAAAGAAAACTATTATTACTACGTGAATGTGAGTCAAAATGGAGACAATTCCTCGCGAACTCCATTTTGGAAGAACATAAAAGAGAATGTCTTTGCCATTAAAACGTAAAACATTTCCATACAAAATCATTAATTTCCTTACCATTATAAAAGAACTAAAATTGTCCATATACATAAACCAAAACAAGCATAAAGCAACAAATCTATTCAACCATCAAGGAAGCATATATCCTTCAAACTGTCAAACATTGCGCCAAAAAGCAGTTACTCAAGCAACTGGATATGATTTTGGAAACGGTAAAAAAAGTCATTAAAAAATCATATCCAGTTGCTTGAGTAACTGCTTTTTGGCGTATCGTATTACCTGGATGTCTAACCTTCATCGACATGTCAAACAAGTGTCCTCACATAACAGAATAACTTTTAGTTCATCATACATCTTACGTGTATGATATATATGTTATAGTTATTATTTTATAGGGTTGTCCAGCCAAATATTACATTTGCTCAATTTTTCTCACATGTGCTGTCTAGTCCTAGCGCTAACCCTAACCCTAACCCTAACCTAGTCCAGCCGTTAGTTGACGCAAACTTTAAATTTTGAAGGACAAACCCTAAATGTGGGCTATTTCTACCTACGCCCATCTAGAAGTCTAGAAGAAGTGCAGAGAAAAGTACTTAAAGGAGACATTACGAAACCCAGCCTAATGTAGTACAGCTAAACCGCCCAGGAGGACCAGTACCATTAGAAGAGATTGGGGTTAATCTGGGCCCAATTTTGTCCCTTTGGAAATGTGTTTGCCCAGCATTTACCGGGAAGAACGGAAAGGCACCATGCGACGGTGATGTTGTTGTTGTCGCCATGTTCGCATTTCGGCTTTGGAGTTAGTAGTCTACGGAGATTTCAGAGTTTCGGGAAGTATTTTGGGTCTTGGTGAGTCCGGGAAGTGGTTTAGGGTTTCGTGAATGTACTGGAGAGGGCCGTACGTATACAGTTTTTTTACACTTAAAACTGACAGGCTAGATGTTTGTCTACAGAACTACATAGCAACACTGTTTTCATTCTACATGTCCTGGACTGGTGATATTCTGATGTGGTCGGGGGCCGGGATTACCGTTGCCTAATAAACTTTGCTCATTATGTCCTTTTTCTTAAAGTTCTCCTCATTGTTGTTACTACCTTGTTTTTTTGTTGATGTTACTGTTATCATATTTGTGTGTGTGTGTGTGTGTGTGTGTGTGTGTGTGTGTGTGTGTGTGTGTGTGTGTTGAGAGGGGTCTTAGATAAGTTATCACTTTACCCAGTCCTCAAAATAAACATATGAATGAGGAAGACCAGAGTGCACTGGTCAAAAGCTCTAGGTGAGAGAATCTTTCTTTTGTGTTGGATCGAAAGTTTGAACTCTTAACAGATATGAATGAAATAAAATAAATAATCAGACTTGGGCAAAAGTAATAAGTTACTTATCAAGGTACTGCAAAAGCAAGGTACTAAAAGAATTAAAAGAATGAAAAACCTAATAAACTTTGCTGCACCTCGCCCCTCTCCCCACCTGCTCCCCAGAGTCGGTACTCTTCTAGCCCTTCAGAAGTCCCTCCTTTTGGACCAACTCCCTTGGAATGTTGTCTGTCTATTTCACCAATTTCTTCTCTTTCTGAAGCCTGGTAGAGGCTATGTTCTATCTATATGAAGCAAGTATAAACTGTAATATCCAACACAATAAATTGGACTCACCCAAATTTTCGACTGTACAACTCCAGTCTTTGTCAAGGAATGAGCAATCCACCGCTTCCGTGACGTCACGCAGATAACACACGTGACTCCGTGAGCAGTGGATCACAGGTTGCAGAAAGTCTGTGGCGCCCCCCGTCTCTGTTGAGGGATGGTTGTAATGCCCTAATGTGATTCCAATTTAATGTATATGTGTTGGATATTACAGTGTAAACTTGCTTCATGATGATTTCTACCAACACAGATGAACTTTCAAGATATGTTCTATCTACTTGTCCTGGTTGTTACTGTACCTAATGAACTTTGCTGCACCTCGCCTCTTTCCCTACCTGGTCCCCAGAGCCGGTGCTCTTCTAGCCCTTCAGCAGTACTTCCTAGTGGACAAACTCCCCTGGCATGTGATCTGTCTATGTGGCCAGTTTCTACTCTTTCTGGAGCCTGGCAGAGGCTATGTTCTATCTACTTGTCCTAGTTGTTACTGAACTTTGCTGCACCTCGCCCCCTCCCTACCTGGTCCCCAGAGCCAGTGCTCTTCTAGCCCTTCAGCAGTACTTCCTAGTGGACCAACTCCCCTGGCATGTTATCTGTCTATGTGGCCAGTTTCTACTCTTTCAGTTTCTACTCTTTCTGAAGCCTGGTAGAGGCTATGTTCTATCTACTTGTCCTAGTTGTTACTGAACTTTGCTGCACCTCGCCCCCTCCCTACCTGGTCCCCAGAGCCGGTGCTCCTCTGGCCCTTCAGCGCCCCGTAAACCCGCGGCCACATCAGCTGTATCGGACTCATCCTCCCAGACACCTCCCTAATCTTCGCCCGGCTATTTGCACAGTTACTTGCGGTGCTCGCTAAATGCCCGCTAGCGCCCGCCCAGCTTTTCTGGGATTCCGTGTGGCGGGAAGAGGGATTCCAGAGTCGTAAAACTGCCATAACACGCCATTAGGCCGGTCGTAATGACCACCGGGCGGCGGCGGGAGCCTTGCCGAAAACGCCGACGCCAGAACTCCAGTCTTACGGTAAAGAGGGCACCCCACATAAGGCGGCGGTTGGAATAACTAAAATGTGCTCATCAGATTTCCCGGTGAAGTAAAACAAAGCTGGGGTGAGCCCGGTAAAGCTCGCTAATTGTAGCAGCTACATGTGTTCTTCGTTAATATAGTCTACGGGGTCGACTCTTAAAAACCCAGGCGTACACTAAATGGGGAGCTCGCTTGATCCTCGTGGTCATGACATATGGACTGTGCTCGGAAAGTCCAGGAAGTGGAGGTGAGAAAATGTTTGGAATGGTGATCCTGGTGCGGAAATAGGCAGGAGAAATGTATTGTTAGTTGATAGAATAGAATTGCGTGCTTTATGTATGGTTGTTTAAGGGAGTCTTATGTGAACGGCCAACGGAAAGCCATATGCCGGCAATCTTGCCAATTGCCCGGAGGTGGTGCTATTGTGATGTCGCCTTCTTAGCCGTTTATTCATGAGGAGGGACCGCATGCGGAAACTCTGAAAACAATGGCTCCTAGATATATCCAGAAATAACGTTAGACTTACTACGACCTGAAACAAAAGTCCTGCAATTAGTCTAGAACAGACTATCCTGGATAGCATACATGCAACCGTATGGCTGGCTAACTCATGTAGCCTTTACCAGGCTTCAGAAATGGCTGGGAGGAGTACAAATTGGCCAAAGAAACTGATAACATGCCAGGGGAGTTGGTCCCCTCCCCTGAAGAAAACCGCCGACTCAGTTTGGAACCAAACATATACATCTAGCAAAAATCAGCGCCTCCCAAAACAATATTTCCGTCCCGGAAGTAAAAACAACACTGTATTCCGAGCTTGAAGTCATAAATTAGAAACTTTTTCCACACAAACTCTTAAGCCCTGGTCCTAGACAGACAGACTAGCCATTTAGGTTATCTCCAGCAGTCATGTTGTTCATGTCTCGTGATGGCATTCATAGGATAGAAAAGGTAAAGGTCTCAAAGCCTTTTTGAGGCCGTGGGGCAGTGGGTTGGTATCCATTGCCTATTGGGTACCGTATGGTAAGGCGGAGCCCATCCCTCTCCTTCCACTGCTTTAACCTTCCCAAAAGAAGTCAGGTACCATTCTACACCTGAGTGGAGTGAGGAAATGCCGGGAATCGAACCAGTTACCTGTCGATCCCGTTTCCTAGTAACTGGCCTCCCGGCGCCTTACTCCAATGATATCTATGGCCAAGATGTAAACCAACCTACATTTAACTCCTTGACTTGTAAGATGTTAGACTTGTTGCAAAGAATTAATTTTCAAGCAACCATTGGCCTAAAATTTGCCCGGGTGGCTTATGGATACTGCTTCGGACAATGGTTATAGCCTCACCGTAGGACCTGCTTAGGCATTAGCGAAGGCTATGTATAAAACGAGGATTTACCAACTATCTGTATACCAATATGTTATCTAATCTATCTATTTGTGCTTTCTGAGTCTGTGTGCATCGATCACTCAGTGTATAGTCACAACTTTCCAAATTCTGACAGATGGAAAAGTAACGGCTTTTATACGTCGATGAGGCTTAGACATCCAGGTAATACGATACGCCAAAAAAGCAGTTATACTCAAGCAACTGGATATGATTTTGGAAACAGTCAGACGTTTCAGCTAGCATCCACTAGCTTTCGTCAGTGACTGAGAGACCAGAGGAGAAATCAGGTTTATAAGCACAAACTATTGACGGCTTTTATAGTTTTTATTGTTTCTTCATCGGAATAGCATGCACCTAAAGCTACTTCTTACACAACTGTGTAGCCAAATGACTATAGAAACGGATCGGGCACCGCCCTTTGCACCAAAAGCTGTGGTGGGAGGGATTTCGACTAAGTAGTCACAACCTTTCGGCGGTATTTTGTTGGACGATGCTCTTTAATTGGGTTTTTGTAGGATTTGCCCAAACCAAGGTCGAAGTATTTTCCCGTCGGCTTCGGCCACAAATTGAAATTGAATTCCGTTAAACAATTATACCGAGACCCTCCCCAGCCTTCATGCACTGAATATCTTATCCAAAAAATCGGTCATAAGTTTGTTTTTTTTATTCTCCAAAACTCTTAGAAGAAATTGAACTTAGGTGGTTGGAATATGGCACTTTCAAACAATGACCAAAAAGTCTTTCTGTCGAAAATTTTATTTTTGTTACAACAGATATTGGTATTATTTTAGAAGACAATACAGGTAATTTCTAACTTAATTTTGAGCGGAATAGCATTTCAACTATGCATGTATCCCATGGTATCACATGGTGTAACATGTTCTAAGAAGTAGTTTTATCTTCTTCTGCTTCAATAATCTTATCAACTGCAATGATGTTATTGGTTGAACTGCTAACTGCAATGCTATCATTGGTTGTACCGTTAATTGTCGAGCTATCATTGGTTGAAGTACCATTGCAGTGCTATAATTGGTTGAACTCCTAACCGGAATACTATCATTGGTTGAACTGCTAACTGCAAAGCTATCATTGGTAATGTTGAACTGATAATTGCAATGCTATCATTGGTTGAACCGCTAACTACAATATCATTGGTTGAACTTCTAACTGGAATGTTATCAGTGGTAAAACCGTACAATTGCAATGCTATCATTGGTACCGTTTATGCAATGCAATCATTGGTTGAACCGCCAATTCTAATGCTATCATTGGTTGAACCGCTAACTGTAATGCTATCATTGGTTAACTACTAATTATGATTGACAGTCACGATCGGTCCGTAGAACGGTTGCTCGGTTAGTTTCAAATTTCTCTGCAGTCGACGTCATCGGACTCAATGATGTGGTAGAGACTGAGCATTTCCTGTGGACTGACGTCATAGATGAACGTCATCCGCCGGTACAGGCACGTGTTCTTCGGCTTCTTCATGACCACGAAGCGGTCGTCGTGAATCGGAACCACCCGGAGATACTCCGCCAAAAGTCCCAGGTACACGTCCTCGAACGGAAATGGCGTCATGTGTTCGAAGGCTCGAAATGCCTTCACCATTCTGATGACGACGTCCAATGAGAACATGTATGCTGGCCCTTGTGCGAAGTTCGGAAAGTCGTCCCTTGGATATTTTGCTTCTGAGATGTATCTGGGTTCTGATTGGTCCCTGCTCGGCCGTCCGCCGCGAAGCACGTGACCCATGAAGAGATGCTGCGAGATTTCGTGAGCGTCTCGTGCCCAGGGTGCCAAGACTTTCATGTTGACAAGAACGTTGTCATCCGTTTTGAGAACAAAGCTAGGCACACAACTGCCGTTAGAATACGTACTGTTCACCCACTTAAAACCCAAAGTTACCTTCAGGTTGTCTTCTTCTCTGTGGTCTTCAAACTTTCCTTGAAGAATGTCGTTGTACTGCAAAGATTCGTCTACAAGTCTTTCCTCCGTCATGACGTCTGGCGCCGAACCCATGACGAACACAACCTGCCATTTTACGTTCTCTTCTTCGCTTTTTCCCGCGTTGCTCTGTCCCCAAGTCCGCCGGATGACCGCGCGCTGTTGGAAACGGTGCGGAGAAGTTTCTACCAACGCGAGTAAAGCGAAATCCTGACCTTTGCACAGTTCCGTACGAGGCGAGAGAGACCAGGGGGTCGAACCGCCTTGCCCTTCGGTGTACCTGTGCGCGACGTTCGCTCCAACTTCGAGCCCATGTCCGTCATCTTTCATGTGCAAGGCCCGCGCTAGGATAGGGTGAATCTCCGACTCTTCGTGTTGTTCTTGGTCCGAACCCTCTCTACCGCGCTTGAACGGGTGCAGGTCCTCCAGTCTGAAACTTCCCTTGGACAAGTAGGACGTGTACAACAGCCACACACCAAGCAGCAGCCACAGTAGCACAAACACCAGAACTATAGTCTTCGCCTTCCTCGAGTTTTGCAAAAGAGTGCAAACAACGGAGGGAGATATCTGTTTCTCCTTGTAGAGCGGCAGCATGATTTTTGACTTCTGGAAACCTGATTTTAGGTGCGAAGAAGTTTTTGAAACGCAAGTGTGCGCTTGCAGGGTTAGAAAAGTCTAGTGTTGAGGCCGGCGGTCTTGTTGGCGCGTTTGGTCTTTAAATTTGTGAGCTTACATCCCTTAAATCGCGTAGTCTACACACGGTTTAATAGACGTGGGGCTTTTCTATTGGACCTCATTCACACTGAAGTACAACACTAGTACTCCACATCCGGGACCGCACACTGAACATCATGTAGGGGGTATCCATTGCACGAAAATGACTCCTTGATAAATTATGAATATATAATAAACAGTAAGAAATACAGAAACTGGTGTTAACATTTTTGTCTATCAGTTGAATAAATCTAGCCTCTACCAGGCTTCTGAAGCGACTGAAAAGAGTAGAAGCTGGCCAAATAGACAGGTAACAGTGGAGTTGGTCCGCTCAACTCGGACAGTTTTCAGAGGTGGCAGATTATTTTGTACTCCAATAGCGGACCAACTCTCCAGGAATGTTATCTGTCTATTTGGCCGATTTCTACTCTTTAGAGCCACTTCTGAAGCCTGGTAGAGGCTAGATTAAAACTACTGAGCTTTTTAAAGCATTGCACAAGTCCCCTTCCCTACTAAACAACAATGAATCTCCCCTGGGAATGGTAGTTCCGGCTTTTGGGCAAACAAGAGGTCGGGTCTACTTACTTACTGTGTATACAGACCATTCACACGCCGGGGAGGTTTAACTGTACTTAAATCTGCAAGTTTGGCTTTGTCAGCCGTCTGAGACTCGAGTGCCACGTTTCAAAGGGCTACCTTGGGAACGAGAAGCCACGAGGGCTATTCCATTTCAAAAAAACCTAAGGGGTTGTCAGGATGATGTTCTAAAACAAAAGTACTTGGATTTATACTACTTACAAATGTAACTTAATTTTGCACTTAACATTTGGTAAGAGTGCATGAGATTTTAGCAGTAATAAAATTGCAAGGGAATTATAGACATCAAACTTGCAAAGTTGTAACATAAATTACTCTTAACCGGTAGTAACCCTTTGATATCAGTAGTCCGACCGAAAAGTTACACAAAGTTAAGATAATCTTTGTCTATGGTTGTTGTAGTTTTGGGAGAACAGGGAGTTATAAAAGTTAGAATATTGTCAGTATATGGCATATAATGGGGACTTACAGTCAGTGGCCCCATGTACTACTAGCATTAGGTCACAGGTGTCTCAAAATAACCCAACACACTTATTGATAAATGGAAATGACCCAGTGTGCTTGGCTGACACCGAAAATGCATGGCAGTACTGCATTGCACTACAAGTACAACACGCTAGTATTGAAAAGGTGTTTAACACATAAGAAAGTTGCCTTGTCTTTACCACCAAAATCCTTTACTAAATCAAAATACACTGAAAGACCTAGAGTTTTAAGAATGCCCCCTTAAACTGCAACTAAGGCCACAGCAAGTACATTTTATGGATGATATCCTCCACAGATTCCAAATCTAATGCGAGCGGGCGAAAAAAAACAAGGCGGTCTGAAAAAAACAAGGTTGTTACATTTTGAAATTTTGACTCAATCATTGTACAAATGGTTTTGATTCAATGGGAACATCGCAAATACACAGCCAACATCACATATCACTGCATCAAAGTAAGAAACAAAACATAAAATCAGAGCCTTTTCTTGTCTCCTCTCTTTATAGTTATCTGCCACCCACCTTCCGGCATGGCAACAGACATCTTGACCTATTTTCGGCATGGTGACCACTGTCAGAAGGCAACAAAATTTGTTGTTGTTTTTTTTCAAAAATCAGGCGAAAATTAATGCATGCGCGAATGTCATCCATAAAAATTACTTGCTGTGACCTAAGGTATATCTACAACTTCACCAGATAACACTAGCCTGGGTACCATCCTGATTAGTTTACTGTATTTACTGCTGTATTACACATTTTGTAACTTGTGGAGCACAGCATCAGCTGAATTTGCTGCCTAGTGCTCCACCGTGTATTGCTGTTGCAACTTGAATAGAGCTTAAGCTTAAGTTAGTTTATGCCAGCCTCGATAGTCGCTACTCACCAACTATACATGTATCAGAGTACATGTATCAGTAGTAGCAGTAGCAGTAGTAGTAGTAGTAGTAGTAGTAGTAGTAGTAGTAGTAGTAGTAGTTGCAGTAGTAAGCCTTGATTTAACTTGATAAACTTGTTCGGTCCAGGGCAAACGTAAATTAAAAAGGATAGTACCTAAGCCAGCTTGAGGGTTCTAAATATACAGAAACAGGTGCAAAACACTGAAGCACAGCCAGATCCTTGTAAACATCTGTGATACGCATGTACAGACACAAACACAGCTGTTTATAAACCGACTTAGGTACACTGTGTAAACAACTTGTCTGAGTGATCCGGTCCATCTGCAAAGTTAGTTTAGGAAAAGGATGTTTCAGTCAGGCGGTAACCGAAGAAGGAAAAGTCCTTCCGCAGGGCTCGAAATTAAAGGTGGTCCAATGCATGACCACTGACCACTAAAATTTAGGCTGGGACAACTAAAAAGACACTTTGGGACATTTTTGGGACAATAGAAAAGTAATCAATATCAGAATGTCAGCCCTTGTTTTGTTTATCAGGTACACGTCCCGGCTTTTGGATCTGGAAAAATCCCCCCCCCCGAATTTCCTGTCTACTCTACTGCAATTATAGTGCACCTAGGAGTGAACAAAAGGAAAATAAAGTTGACTTCATTTACTTCAAGTAGAAGTCATGCAATACTTCCGGAAAAACAGGTTGGGACAGTTCATCCTCACTTTGGGACATGTGAGATTTACTTTTGGGACAGTGCTGGGACAATCGGAAGAAAAGGTAATTTTGAGGCCTGGTTCTGGTGTAAGACCCGGATGTGCCCGAGGTGAAATCTCACTGGGAGGCTGAGCAAATATGTCTTATGTTACCATGGCAACTGGGATATGCCAGGCCCCCTTCATACCATGTCAGTTTGCTGGTTAGTCTTAAAGTTAAACAAATACTTGATGTGTGGCCATAACGTAGAGGTACATGTAGATAAAAATCATATTGAATCATTAAAAAAACATAAATATGTATCTGTATAGCTGGTATAATGGTCCTTCGGCGTAACACAGCAGATTCAAAGGCACACGGCGCGGCGGCAGCTGGCTACATTACACCAAACAACTTGTTACACCTAACCCTTGAACATCTAACTCTAAACATTGTTTGAAGCTACTGTATCTGATGATAATGCCCCTACTGTACTTGGTGACTGCAGTGAGTTCCACTCTGAGAAATCCTAATAAAAACTATGATACATGTAAGTAATAACAAATAGAACACGTGACATTTAAAGCTGGAATCTGGAGAAAAACACACAAACACCATAACTCTTGTGTCGACACATGGTAGTAAACTCTATCAACTTGTAATATTCTAACTCTCAGCTCTCTGTCACATTGTATGGCTTGGTAGTTTTATCAAGAAAATGCATAATCAATGGTTGTCAAGTTGATGTTATGTGTGCAAAATGTACATCCTAATATTGTATCATATGCATAATGCAAATTGTTATTACTATTAGTTATATTGTAATATGCATTGCATGTACCATTGCATTAAAGAACACTAGGGAGCTAGGCATTTGGCTATTTAAAGATTTCTTAACAAACAAATAAACAGACAAACAAATGGGTGTGGCCTCAAGCATATGCAAATTCAGGCTTATCTAGTTTGATTCAAGGATATCTTTTACCTCTTAATGCCAGATTGACTTATAGTAAGATGTCCAAATATAAATGTCTATATTTGTATCTGTATAGCCGGTATAACTGCTCCTCTGCATAACACAACATTTGCATAACACAACATTTGTATTTTGTATCTCTAGTGTACATTATTATATACTAGGGAGCCTGTGTCTACATTGAGGTATTTCTTAATTAACAGAAAGACAAACAAATTGTCTAATGCTAACTCACACATTAAACTCCTGTAATACTGTTGTATTTTGAGTGGTGCTTTTACATCTGTAATCATTATGTATGTGAAACACCACTGCTCCAACAAACTAAGTACAAAATTCAGGACAGGCACATTTGTGTCTTTCCCTGTCCATGTATGTTTGTATTGTAACAAACAAAACACGTCATTCAGACAGACGGACAGCCAGCCAAACAGGCATGGATGTGGTCACGTGCTATTTCACTAACTTACTTGAACTGAACGTGTCATTATGTGGGTTGAGTGGCCTGTGTTTCCTTTTTGAACAAACGAACGGACAGACAAACAGGCATGCATGTGGTCTCTTACGTCTTAGTTCTTTCACTAACTCACTGGAGAACATGTCGGTTGGGCCTGTGTTTTAAAAGTTTGCTTTTTGAACAAATGAACACATGGACAAACAAACAGACATGGATGTGGTCTCATGCTGTTTCACTAACTCACTTGAACTAAACGTATAAATTGGATGCCTGGCGTAGATAATATGTGGATTGGGTCTGTGTGTTAAAAGTTTCCTTTTTCAGGGCTCGAAATTCATTTTTGGGAATAGATGCACCCAACCTCAAAAATTGGGTGCACAAAAATTATTTTAGGTGCACCATATATAATTATAAGACAAAATAAGTAGAATGTCAGCAAAAGTCATAATTATGTTTCATTTCAAGAAAAGTACTACAACAATGATTGCATTATTTTTTTCTGACACTTAGATGTTAAGAATATGCTGTAGCTACTATACATTTAGCATCTTTGCATAGGTTAAACCTACAAAAAAAAACTAGGTGCACAGCTCCAATTTTGGGTGCACTAAGATGCACATGCACCCAGTATATCGAGCCCTGCTTTTTTAACAAACGAACGAACGAAAGGACAAACAAATGGAAATGGATGTGGTCTCGTGCTGTTTCACTAACTCACTTGAACTAAACGTGTCAATCGGATGCCTGGCATGGATAATATGTGGATTGGGTCTGCGCTTTAAAAGTTTCCTTTTTGAACAAACAAACGGATGGACAAACAAACAGACATGGATGTGGTCTCATACTGTTTCACTAACTCACTTGAACTAAACGTGTCAATCGGACGCCTGGCATGGATAATATGTGGATTGGGTCTGCGTTTTAAAAGTTTCCTTTTTGAACAAACAAACAGATGGACAAACAAACAGATATGGATGTGGTCTCGAGCCGTTTCACTAACTCACTTGAACTAAATGTGTCAATCGGACACCTGGCATGGATAATATGTGGGCTGGGTCAGCGTTTTAAAGTTTCCTTTTTGAACAAACAAACGGATGGACAAACAAACAGACATGATGTGGTCTCGTGCCGTTTCACTAACTCACTTGAACTAAACGTGTCAATCGGAAGCCTGGCATGGATAATATGTGGATTGGGTCTGCGTTTTAAAAGTTTCCTTTTTGAACAAACAAACGGATGGACAAACAAACAGACATGGATGTTGTCTCGTGCTGTTTCACTAACTCACTTGAACTAAACGTGTCAATCGGAAGCCTGGCGCAGCCGTCTGAAGAGGAGTATATGTGGCTCGGGACAGTGGATCATGTAGTGGATCCAGTATGGAGACTGCTGAACACCCAGGTTTCTCCACTCTGTCTCTGTCATCAGGTGGTTCTTGGGGACCTAGGCCAGAGAGATGAGGTGAAAGTGTTTGTCAACATTTTGTTTATACTAGAAATGCTTGAAACAGCCCAAAAAACGAGCTATGTGACTCCCTTGGTACCACCAATGAATGGCTAAAACGAGACTACCATACAAAACAAGCAACTGTTTTCCGTCAGCTACATCATATTTTTGCCAGTAGATATCAGTAACATTTAACATTTAATGTAGGAAAGGCCATGTTGATTTGATTATATGGATGACATCCTCTGGGAACCCCAAAACTGATGCGCGCGTGCGAATAAAAAAAAAAGTTTTGCAAAAAAAAAGTTGCTTCATTATGAAATCTACGTGGTCATGAAGGTTGAAGAAATGACACAGAATATGGTATGGCGAATAATCTACTCTTCAAATTCATTTCTTGACATTTTCATCTTTTTTGTTTGATTTTGGCAATATACGACATTGGTATCATTTTTAATTACTAGTACTTTTTTTGCAACTTACGGTATATTTTTGCTCATTTTGCAATTGTTTGGTACCATTTACAGTATGGTTGAAATGAGTTTTGTTTTTTTGGAAACGAACGAAAATTCATGCGCACGCGGATGTCATCCATGTGATCAAATCAACATGGCTTTACAAAAATGACCAGAAAATTGACTTTGAAAATCCAGTTTTACAGCCCAGAAATGGTTTTGGACAATAAAGTAGACATCTTATGTTACCTATGTTTGAGGTGTGGTCTTACCTGATGGATAAGTTCTGAAGGAAGAATCACGTGACGATACTCAAACTTCTCATCCTTGTACTTCTCGGAGTACTGGATCATTTGCTGCACTTCAGTCGTCGACATGGTTAAAGCGCCTCCTAGTAATTTCTGCAGGTATTGCAAGTTGCAGGAGACTTATTTCGTGGCAGTGTGTGTTGGATCAAAACAGTTGATTGAAGTGGTAATGCTTAATCTGTGTTTATGCAATGTAATAAAAATTACCGTATGTTAAAGATTATGATAAAGATTATTTTTTGGCATATACACATTTAGCACAAGCATTTAAATGGTCACAGCTCATCATATCTGTGTGCAACTGTTACTAACACTATTTAGTAGTCCTTGCCATATGACAATTTAGTGTGTAGGCTACTCACTTAATTAAACGGAACTTTAAACTTTAAACAAAAGGCAGCAAGATTGGTATATGCTAAACTATTAATTATTACTAAATATGAGAATAATTCTTTTAGTGTATCATACTCGTACATGCGTGTGCAAATGGTTTATATACCGTTCTAACAACATTATAGTAAAGTTATCAAACCTTAGGGAAAAAACTGAGGCAAAAGTTCAGTATAAGATAACTAACACTGGCACAAGTAGCTAGCTGTTTTGCTGTAATTTAAAGCCCCCCCCCCCCGTCCCTCGCTAAGTTTGTGGACTTGTTTACTTTTACGCCGTTGTTTACTTCACGTTTCGAGCGTCCTATTCAGCTAAATACATAATGTATCGGCTTACCTGTACTTTAACTTTGTATTAAGTGGCAAAATACCAAACTTGGACGTTTGTTGACAGAAATAATGGTGTTGACAACCAGACTGTCTCCACTCTTGGTTCTTTTCAGTTTCCCGCCAGAATGTTAGGTCACCAGAGTAGTCCATATTCTAACGTTCTCGTTTAAAATACAACCTTCTGTAAGGAAATATCATAACGTTTTACCTTTAGGTATAAAATTCATGTAGAGTCTACAAAAATGAAAACAAAATTATCCTTATGGTTTCTTTTATTGAAAAATTTTACCTACGACGGAAAATAATTCCTCCCTTTTGAATCAAGTGGCATCGACCAAAGGTCAAATTCCACTGCAACAGGTAAGGCTACGTTGTAGGTTATAGAAGCACGTATTTTGCAAATAAAACTTGCTAGTTACCCTTAAAAGTATATATTCCTGATCCAAAGATAGATATGATATTTCTTATGATTGATAAATATCCTATGTGATGTTTCGTTTTAAATTTTGCGAATATAACTATCACATTACGATACTGAAAACCCCTAAAAGAGCCGCAAAGCACATTGTCAACCCAAGATGGCGACGTCGAAGCCGACACAAAACGAGCACGATCATGAATTGGACGGCGAGGAGGAAAATGTTCAGCCCGATAAGAAGGAGAAGAAGAAAAAGCAGGACTCGGAAGCCGCCGCGGATCTAGAGAAGGTCACCGACTACGCAGAGGAGAAGGAGA